TACATTTTTTTTCTCCGGTACACTCATTCCATACGCAGCAAAATTGGTAAGAATAGGCAAGGATTTCACGCAGGCACAAATATGAGCAAAATGTGACACAGAGGGAAGTCGGTGTTTCAGGAAGAGGAACAGTTGATGTAGTGGTGATATTGCAGTTAAACGTATTGAAAATGGATCAATGGATAAAAACTGAGACCAAATTAGATAGACTGAATTGAGCTTGCTGTATTCAAACGATTCTGTTTTGTCGTCAGTTCGAGTTTTCAGCCTAAAAATTGTTTTATAAGACTGATCTGTCAGCGGAAAGTAAGTATGGTAGTGAAAAGCATTAACGATATAAAATGCAGAGAAAAGAAATTTGTTTTTGTAATCTTACTGTTTTTCTTATGCTTCATATTTAAATGGTTTGCAATAAATAAGGAATAAAATAAAAATAATATGGTTTTGTTGAACGCTAAGTTAACATATGGAATCTGAAGCTGTATTGTTATTAGTTATGTGTGTGTAGTATACAGTGATCGTTATTGGATATACATTTGTGTATGGAACGGGTGATACTTTGTCGTTCATTGTAAGTACAACTATAATTTTAATTGACTGTATATTCGGGTTGGCATTGCTATTTTTTTGCCAATAAAAATAACATATTATCAATGTGATAATGTCACAACGTTACAGACCATCACCAACTTTGACAACAATTACTATCAGTTGTGGAAGTCAGATAAATAATTAGTGTACGTGATGAAAGACAAAAAAAATTTTTTTTACACTGCAAAATTGATCGAAAAAAATTTTTTTTTCTAATTGTTTTAACCTAAAGTTATATTACTGCTAGAAATTTATGCTTAATTACAGTAAATTTTTTAACCGAGTTACAGAATTGAATAATTATTACGAAATTGATTTGGTTACGAACTGATATCTATACACAGGAAGATTAATAGAAACTAAGGAGAAGATTTTACTGTGAAGTATCTGAATTATAAATTATTATGAATTTTGTTTTTTTTTTGGGAAGGGGGGAGGGGAGAGACGGATTTCAAGTTTTTTCTAGTTTGAAACATTAAAATTTAGTTAACCATTTAACGATAATCACAAAGCAGTTTTGATGGTATTAGCAATCTGCTGAAGTTGCTATAATTTTTTCCAGAATTTCTGCTGCATTTTCTGTTTATTCAAGCTGCTTGTTTGCTGTTGAAAATCAGTTAATGTCACCCAGTAAAATATATTTTAAAAAATTTGACATATCATTGATGTGAGACAGTAATTTTTTGATGGAAAAAAAAAAAAAAAAAAA